TGGGTTTGTACTGGGAAAAGTGACCAGTTGCAATGAGGCTTCTGTTTCTTTTTGGCTGCCTGTTGAAGTCACCTAATGGGCTCAGCCAAAAAGAATTCTGCCACGGACACACATTTCTCCCTGATTAATTACCTAAGTATGGAAGCATAAGCAGTGTGTAATTTCTCTTGTAAGAAAGCTGTTGTTTGTGACTGCATGCATATCTCTTTGGATATAGAACAGTAGGATGAGGATCTACCAATGTAGGATGCAATCCTACGGTGAAAATGTGATTTAAAATAGAAAATTTTGAATAGGAATAAATTGGACTTCTGCAACTGAAGATTTGTATAGTGAAATGCAGAATATTTTTGCAGGTTTTTAGAAATGCAAATCAGCTACTGCTTGGTTATTGGGGTTTGGGGTTTTGGAGTTTTTCTTATTTTTTAAACAAATTGGCTTAATGCCTTGTGCTTGATTTTCTAAAGTAGCCGAGCACTGCAGGCTTTTGGCAAATACACTTGCTTGAACAAATGCTTTTGCGTGTTACGCTAGTCAGTCTTTGTCATTTTTACCTTCCTCTGTATTTTTGCATAGCTTCAATGTTTTAATCGTTTATTTCAAGTCTGACTTGGCCTTTAAATACCAACAGATTTTGCTAACTTTCCTGGAAGTTATGCTGATATGATTCATTCATGCTTTTTGGAGAACTTGGTTTCTGTTAAAAAGTTTCAAAATTTTGGGAAATAATAGTTGCATGGCACTGTCATTTACAAGATGGCACAGTATGTGAAAGAACAGGTGTGAAAAATTCAGTGAATAAAATTACTTTTGAAATATAAATTGTCATTTTATGGGCTTCTGTTAGGAGAATGTCTTTTCTAAACTGTACTAAGTATTTAATTTTTCTTTTTAGTCAAATGTTTTCCTTCTGAAATGAAATTACATAATATTTAAGTAACACTTCTTTACATGCCTAGTTTTAAATTAAAATTCATAATTAAGCTTAATATGAAATTAGAAGATTTGATTTAATGCTTTCTTCCTGTACCTGAACTAATGTTCACTGCATTAGAAGGTGCAGTTGTCATTGAGAAGCTTTGTTCTTTTAACAAAAGGTACCAAAAATAAATTCAGATAGGGTCATAGTGGTTTAGTTTAATACTGTTATGATAATGAGTACTATAATTACTTTCAGATAGCTCTTGCTTCCCAGAGGATGAGATTTTTAGTTTTGATGCTTGCTTAAAGCATGAGAATGACAGTAAAATTAATGTCATAACCTTTATAGCCTATTTATCGTTTTCTGTGTAGTATCCTAAAGGATTTTATGTAACATCTAAAATAAATGTCTTAGTATGGACAAGCATCAAATTAGGTTAATTGGGTTCACCTGATATTCACATTCAGTCTGTCTATCAGGACACCAGTATCACATAAAAGACCTGTGGGTATCTTTCTGTGAAAATTGCTTTTAAATTATTACATGTATATGCTCTACTTCCTTTGGTTGTTAAAGACCAATTTACAGTGTAGTTTTTTTCCAGTTTATTTGATATTTTTGCTGCTTCTGCTTGAAAATTCGTTTATTCTTTCATTCGTTTATCCTTTCATTCTATGGTAACATAAGGAGTAGTATAGGCATTATAGAGCTTATTTTATGGCATTAAGATAAATTTTACTTTTTAATTCTGTCCAACTTCAACTTCACTTCACTTGAAATTCTTGTAATAGATTTCTTTTCATCTCTGACCAGTCAGGAGCAGATTTGAAGAGAACTGTTTTGAGTTCTGGAGTACTGCCACTTGAATGATTTTATTTATTGTCCTATGGTATAGATACAAACAAAACTGAGCAAAACAGATTTTAAGATTATATAGAATTTTAAAAGTTTTATCTTTGAGATAGGCAATCAGGGTGAAAAAAAATGCCAGATAGAAATAATCAATATAACATTCTGTATTTGGAAAGAACCAATATTGGACTCAAATATAACCGAGGAAGACTGTAAGAATGTTTGCCCTCTCAGTATTCGACAAAAACAATGGGACATCTTTAGTTATTAGTGGTGTCCAACCTCAAATTTGTTCTGGACATAACTGTGTAAAACAGGTAAAAAAATTTAGTTAATTTTATTTCTAAGGTTGGCTCTTTTTTGAACATAAAAGTGTTTTTTATGGAAAGTAGTCATGCCAAGCCAGATTTATGGTCAAATGAAAAAAAAAATTCTTATGAGGACAGGTATAGGTAGCTGTATAGATGTTACATCCTTTAACTTCTGTACTATGCATTGATTCAGAATTTCAGAACTTTTTTGTAACACTGCAGTTCATATTTAGGACTTGCATCACATATATGCAGATATTAGGTATCTGATAAACATGTTACAAATTGGCTAAAAGATGTCAGGAACTTTCAGTGAGAAAGGAACATGAATCAGTACACTTGTAGTAAAGTCATGGTGGGACTGGTTCCAAGACTAGCGCTAGGCAGTGATCAGAAAGACACTATTGATTAAAAACTTTACACTAAGTGCAGACAGGACAGTCATACAAAGTTATGTGGTTTGCTTTGTAAATGGTATTTGTATTCAAAGAAAACATGCTTTATTACAGTCATACATATAACAATGGACAGAAAAATTTGAAGGGACGATAAGCAGCAACTTGCCCTGACTTCAAAATATTGAGCTTTTCCGTTTTTCCCAAAAGGAAGATTACTTAAATATCTGCAAAAGTAAAGGGCAGTAAAAGGTTCTTTGGTATAACAAGAAAAAAATAATTCATGAATGGCTAGAAGATGAAAAGTTAATTTGCGAATTATTTTTTTTATTGATGGTAGCTGATCAATGTACTAGTCTGTAAAATAAGCACTGCATTTTCTAGATCAAGACCATTATCTTACTGCAGTTAAGGTTGAATTCAAGTCGGAGATGCTTGTACAAAATTTGTATGGGCCAATCTTCTGGCCTAGCATTAAGGGTATGTGAATGCTTGGAAGAAGATGTGAAGCTTGTGTTTCCACGTGATATGAGTTATTGATCTGTATCCAGAAGTCTGGTTTGTGTGCTAGAATTCTAAAAGGAAGTAGTAACCATAAGTGAAGCACCCTTTTAAATTATTTAACGCTCTCTACAACTGGAAGGGACCATGAAAACTTATAAAAATGTGACCTCAGAATAGTAATTTTGAGAACCTTCATTTGAATATCATTTCTTATGTGTTTTTTTTTTTTTTTTTTTACAATATGTGTTGCTGTAACTACTTCAGTATGTTTTCAAGTGTTGGAAATCCTAAAGTGGAAGAAGAACTTCTGTAAAAAGATCTTATTGAGCAGAAGGATGTCTTACGCTGTGGGTGACAGGTTGAAGATCCACGCTTGTTCCTAGAAGTCATTTGCCATTCCAAAATTACATCAGTGTGGCCTGTTTCAGGCTTGTAGATTAAGAGGGAGTTGTCTATATGTTACCAGGACGTGAAACTACATTTAGATGAGCGGACCTATGTTTGTGTAGTGGGTCTGACAGACCAGAGGTTGACAGCTTAAGTACCACGGACAGAGACTCTGTGAGGCAGCCTGGGATCTGCTGGTACACATCTGCAAACCTGTACCAGGAGGTGCTGGTTGACATACAAGAACTGCTTATTACATATGGCTCAACACAGCACCTGTTTGCTCTCTGAGAGGTCTCCTCACAGCAGCCATGCTCAGTTTTCTTTTATGCTTTGGTATTGAACTTCCGGGAAATGGAATTGGTTTTGCCTCTTTCGTACTTTACTGCTGCCCACAGAACCATCTCCTTCCTACAACCTCTCCATTGCTTTTTGAGAGTCAATTGCACGATGGTAAAGAAATATATTCAAGACTTATTTTTGTGTTTGATAGTTGCATCAGAATTTGTCCCAACTATTTTTACATTTATCCAAATACAGTCTTTTGGTACTTCACGTGCTCAGAAGGGGGCTCTTGAGTGCATGTCTGGAATATTCTTTATGTAAGATTCTACCAGCTGTTAAATTGTCCAGGAAGGTAAGCAAACTCCACATCTCCACAGCTGGCTCTGCCTCTGGGAAATACTACGGATATGGACTGGTATGAAAGCCTAGATCCAAGTAAACCCCCATGTAGTTGGACTTCCATCTGTGTCAGTCGATGGATTTGTCTATTACTATCCCAAAGCCTCCAACTGCATCAGGAGAACAAGAGTTTTATACCGTGTGTGACTTTTTTAACGTGTTAGTGGTGCTCAGCCAAACCAAACTCTTACGTGGTCATTCCAAAAGCTAGACCGTTTTAGGATAAAGAAAATCTAAATAGATCATAACACAATTTTATATTGTCATTGTGTTATACTGTGTCTTTCTTACTTGACTGTTGAATCATGCTTGACCAAAGCTTAAGCAGCACACTGACTGCACTGGAAAGAAATAACCCACTCTTTAAGTTACTGGGTGGCCACTTGATTTAATGCTATTTTATGGCAAACATTAAGCATCAAATTTTGTGGTAAGTACCAACGTGAAATTCAGGAGAGGTGGCAGTGTAATGTTTGCTTCACAAATGCAAGCTAATGTCTTCATTGTAGCATCCATGAAAGATTCTGCTTGTCAGTCAGTTATATGATATCCATGCAGTCAGATGTTCGAAGGAAAATGGTTCCTTAACCCTGCGTTGTTTGTGATTCTTCAGAATGCACTGTCACTTTGGAATTCATGATGTGTCCTCTTTTCTGGCTTTAACGGGGGTTTTCAATAACAAGAAGCCGAAGTTAGTTGTACCCAGTGTTGAGATATGGAGAGTGCATATAAGGGTGTTTGTGATCGAGAGAAACACTTGGTTTAAAACTCTGGTGGTGTTTTGCATGAGGTATGGGCATACTAGGATCCATTCAGAAATATAATTTTGGAAAATTATTGCCATTGTCCTATTTCTTTTTTCTAAGTTTATGAAAAATTGTCAGAACTTCTAAGTATCTGTATTTCTTCTTTCCAGGAACGTTGTCGTAACTATTAAAGGGCATAATGCAGAATCCTTTAACTTTTTCTGCAGGTATAGTATACTTTCTGTACTTTTTTGAGAAATTAGAGGCTTGTGACTCAAAACATGGAAAAAATATCATCATGATTAATAAATCATTATATAGCTTCTGTCTACCATTCTACTCTAATGTGGTTTTAAAAAAAAGGAAACCATTATACTGCAGCATTTATCACTTCAAACGGTTACAATAGCTAAGATTCTTTTCTTCTTTAGGACATTGCTTGTTACTGTTACCACCTGTAGTTGAAACTTGAAATATGTAAATCTGCTTCTTGTTTGATTCAGCAGAATTAAGTATTCAGGGTTAATTACAATTTTTTAATGTTCATATATTTGAAAATCATTGTCATATTTGACCCCCATATCATGGGGGGTCAAATGTATTTGCAAGTTATGCTACAAGAGTAGCACAAACAACAAAATAAATATTGAAGAAATATTAAGAAGAAATTCTTTACTCTGAGGTTGGTGGGACACTGGCACAAGTTGCCCAGAGAAGTTGTGGGGGCCCCATCTCTGGAGGTGTTCAAGACCAGGTTGGATGGGGCTTTGAGCAACTTGGTCTAGTGGAAGGTGTCCCTGCCCATGGCAGGGGGGTTGGAACGAGATGATCTTTAAGGTCCCTTCCAACCTAAACCGTTGTATGTTTCTATGATTTTTCTAAATATAAACTTAGATTTTAAGTGTCTTTTCCCCAGCATTTCTATTCTTACTAACATTTTTGTGTTTAATTGTTTTCTATGTTTTGTCTCTTCAGAAGTCATCTTTTGTTGATTTAGTTTTTAGTAGTGCTAGCATCTTGAATTTTTCCTTCTGTTATTAGTAAGGGTATTTGTGCTGCAATTGTGTATTCCCAAGCTTCTAAATGTGCAGCCGTAACTTGAATTTCCTTTCCCTTTTGATCTGTGTCACAATGCTGATGTTTAAATATGATTGTTAACTTGAATGTCATTTTTAATGATACTTCTTAAATGTGAATGAATGTTTGATGGGTATGACATAAGCTCTAATGGACCTTTCAGAACCATTGCAGGTTGTCAGTTAAGTTTCCACTGTTAGTACTTATGTTAATTAAGAAAAGCACTATACATGACTTAACTTGAAGGCTTGAGCTTTTACTGTCATGTAAGTTTATACTTTACCTGTTTTGTGACGAGTGAGTATTTTTATGATACTGTAATAATTCTGAGGAAGCTATTCCCAGAGGATGTCTTGCAAATTGATCTTAGTTGATGAGTTCTGTGTCTAATGGGACTGTTCTTTCAAGGGAGACGGTTTTCACTGTTGTGTAAAGCTATCCACCCTGTAGTGTGCTCTATGTCCGTATGCTTGTGACTGGAATACTTAATTCTAATACTTAAAAGCCTTAATTTAATTTTCCTTTAAATAACAGGAGTTTGACCACTGTTATAGTCAAATTGAAGGTATTATCTTTTTAAAGCCATTTATGAATAACAGGAGAACAATATAGATTGTAAAGCTTGAAACTGATGAATCATTTGCTTTGAGATTTTTTTTTTAAGACTTTTTTCTTTCAAAACATCCATTCTGGTCAGTGTCCTATTATCAACTTACACCCAGAGTGAATTATAAGAGCCATGTTCTAAACTTTGGAAGTGGGGGTTCATGTTAGAAATCAGATCCTGACCAAGAGCTACATCAGTGTGAAATCATTGTATTCTGCAAATATACTGGTCTCAGTATATTTATTTTTTTATTCTTTTACTATCACTCTTTTTTGTCCTCGTATCAGGCATCGCTTGTTTCTTAAATGTGTTATGGCACTTCAAAAATGTTGAGGCTATTAGCAATTTATAATGATTTATGTGCAACTATAACATTGGTACATTTCTTACAAATAAAAGGTTTGAAAATAAATGGTATTGGAAGTAGAACCTATCCATCAATTACATTCAGTATAGCATTTTTGTCAATCTTTCTATACTTTGAAAGTGCTTGTTATTTTTCAGTTGAGTATGGAAGTAATGGTTAGTGCAAGTTCTTTGAGTGACAACATAAACCCCTCACTGCTACCATTTGTCATGTAATAGCCGAAGTTCTGTAATTTGATACATACTCCTTCAGGGCATCTGTGTTTTTCGCAATTTAAAATATTTTATAAGAAAAGTGACTATCATTTATATAAGCAGCAATTGTAACTCCACATTCAAATAGATGCACTTTTCTGAATAAATCTTTAAGATTTTTTCCTAGGAATTAGGAAATTATCATTGAAGCATCATATTCTGTCATCCACATTCATGTTAATATTTGCTGTTGAGCAAGTGCTGGTTGTTTTTTTTTTTTTTTGTAGTGCTCCATAATGACATAAAATACCAGTGTGCCTTAAAGAACTGAAATACCTTTGGATCAGCGGCACTGTCAGATTTATAAAAAATTTTTGTTAAATTACACTACCATGAAAAAAATTGTGTATCTTATACAGTTATTGTGCAAAATATAAGATTGTTCCTGTTTTATCTAGGAATTTATTTAATACTTTTTTGTCTTTTTTAAGTATACATTGGAAAAGCATATCACAGGCTGAAATCATAGTTTTGCTCCTTGGGTATGTTTATTTTAATTTTTTAAAAAACATAGTTTTTTAAAAAGTCATTGTGTAGTTTAATTCATTTTGTATCCATGTTAGTGTGGTCATTTGGTGCTGGGAGATCTCAGACTTCAATTAGCCATGTAAATGTGTTTCTTAGCATCAACTCTCGCTTTGCTGGAACCCCTGCTGCCTTTATATCATTAACATAAATGCAGGTGCAAATAGCATTTATGTACTTTGATAGAAAGCAGTTGGAGTCATTTCACTGTGGGACACGACACTTTCAGATTGTGTACATCTGTTCAAATAATGTATCCAAGCCAGTGACATGAATGCAAGGATAAAAACATCTGCCCCTGAGACCATTTGCCATACAGCAGATGCTTACATCTTTATTTATGCAGATGGTTTGTGTGATGAGCTGAGCAATGATGAAAGCAAGAAAGTTTGACAAAGATTTCAGGGTATTGCTTGGGATGGGAAAATATGTTGGTAACAGGGCTTCATTTTCAGATGTCAACCAAAAGGAGAACATCTGTTAGAAATTCTGACGTTTTTAGTAACATGGATGGGTTTTTTGGGACATTAATTGGATTAACACAAAATCAGTGAAGGATTTTTTTTTTTAAAATCTCTTGCACAAAAATTGTACTGCAGTTGTAGAAGATGCTAAATAGTTTAATAGAATTACTTTGAACAGGAAGGCTCAGCTACTTTGCTTCAAGATGTTTTTGAGTTTATACAAAACATTTAATTGACTGAAAAGTTTGCAAAGGTGGAATACTTTGAAAGAATAACATAACTTGTGAAGTTGTTCAGAGCTTGCGTGCAGTACTGTAAAAGAATTCATGACCTTGGGGATTTTTCAACAGAAGTCGTATTTAGTGTTACAAAATTGTTAGACGAGTAGTTTAGCCTTTCTGTTGGTTGAAGATTACGGTATGGTAGTCGCCGTGAGTCACAGATCTAAGCTGAGCTGGCACATAAGAGAAGGAACAGCAAGTGTCGTGGTGTGGCTGGCCCGGCTCTGTCGGTGGCCGGAGGCTGTGGTGATGGGCGCCCGACTCCCTCTGCTGGACTCTGCGCCAAGGGGCTCCTTTGTCTGCCAGCACAGCCCAGATACACGTGAATTTAATTAGAAATGTGCTGATATATCTGCACACGGCAAGTTAAGGATATCATCTTTGGCCTACATTCCTGTTGACTGCATTCCTGTTGTCATTCCCTCGTATGCTGGCACCCATTACGAGTGTTCGCTGATACATTATCACCTATCAGCAGCACCTTCAATCAATTCCTTTGCAGCACAGCCGGTACCTTCTTGTGAGAACCGGTGCTGCCTTTAAACAATACAGTGGCTAGCACGGGCAAGCTTAGCAATGTCAATAAGCGTTGCAAATAATTGTAATTATGCACGGGGGTGGGGGAAGCGTTCTGATGCTGTAATTTAAATTATTTTCTGCTACATCTTACTGCCAGAAAGGCCTACCTATGTTCAGGTTTAGCAGCAACTGAGAATTTTAAATGTTCTGAAAGCTAATGTCTTCCTAGCCAGGGCCATAGTCTTTCTGAAGCTGTTTTAGTTTTCCTGTGCTTTACAGGGCTCTGCCTGTCTTTGAAAAAATACACATGTCTACTTGAAGTACTGTGGAGATTCTCTAATCTCTAGTTTTATTTTAGTCCTTAGTGGAATTGACTGCAGGTCGCAATGTTTTGCATATCTCAGCCAGAGCTGTATAGTCTTTCTCTGAAGAAATTTGGGTTATGAAGAAAGAAAAGGGGCGAGGTAGAGCAAACAAAATCCCTGACTAGAGATTCCCCATTTGAAAGTTAGATCACTTTGGTAATTTTCAAAAGAAACTAGCTAGTTATGAAATCCCTCAGAAAATACTCTCCAAAAATCGTTTAACAATGTGTTCTGGCCCTTTCTTTGGGGAAGGATAAACCCGGTGTATAATTCATACTGGAAGACACAAAATAGACCAGGCTAGGTCTCACAGTTTTCTGATCCTCCCTTCATATTTAATGAGGGAGCACTTTCCGAGGTTTGTAGTACAGAAGTTGCCATAGCGGTGCTTTTAATGCCTCAAGTAAGAGATGTTTGCTCTATTGAGCGAAAGTGGTGAATTAATTGTTCGTTTTCTCTTGCATGCAGGATCTGTTCAAATAGAGGTGTTCCGGTCATCACAAAAAAGCGATACTCTAACATGAAAAAAAATTTTGCTCTTCTGTTGTGCTCTGTTTTTGCACAAAATAAATTTTGAGAGTAGGAGACATAATTACCTTAACTGCGATCAGATGTATGTCCCTTTCTGTCCCATGGAGGGAAGGGCGGAGGGTTGAACTCTGAGTAAGACGAAGATAGAGTCTATTCTCAGCTTATTTGAACGGGGAGCAAGAGTCTAGTCAGAAAATACTTCATGATTTATTTATAAAATGATTCTACTTGACCTTTTTGTGCTGCATAGTTTCTGAAGAATTCTGCTTTCGATTCTGTAACAGACCTGGTCATTATTGTTTCCTGCACTTAAGGAAAAAATAAGTCTATTAATTACCACTTCTATTAGGCATATCAAGATTTTGTTCAGGTTGATGTGATCTTGATAGACCTTTTAAAAAGAATTTTACATTGACATCGACTTTGCAGTGAATGAATTACTGTTTAGGTCCATATCTTTCTTGAAGCTCACTAAAAGAAATTTCAACTGGCAGTTGTCCCAGAAAATAATTTTTAAAAATCCAATTACAGTCTTCTCTTTTGAATCTTCTGTTTGTCCCCACCTTCTAAAGTACCTAGTTCACATTTGCAATGCCACTGAAGGTTTATGAATTACAAGTTTATGACCAGTGCTTACATCACCTCCCTGCAGCTAGTTTCTGAACAATTAGTTCCCCCAAGTGGCAGCGTCACTGAAGCCTTGCTTCGCAAATCTCCAGGGATGGTATCCTCCATGGAAAAGAATGACTGGGCAGAAGTGACAAAGATAAACCACTGGATTTGCAGTGATAACAAAATTTCCTTTCTATGCAACTGAGTCCTGTCGGAACAACGTGGTTTCTAGATAATGCCCACTTGAAGTTTGACGTGGTTGATTGCTGAAACTAGCGGAGGCATAGAGAAGCTGCAACACACTGTCTTTAATGATGTATCTAACAGTCTTTCGCAGACAGAATTTCCATGCTTAAACAGAAAAGAACCTGTGTTTTCATCTTTATAGTGTTTTGTGTGGTTGCAGAGGCCAGGCACCATCTTGAGCCCATGGATTTATCTGCATAAACCTTATTCTCAAGTTCTGTTATTGCCATAGTGAGAAAAATCCATGTGTGATTTCTTCAGCTGTAAAGGTGGAAAAAGTTATTAATACTTACAGATGCTTTATGTCTAGCTCTCTTTATGTCAGTTTTCATTTCTTGATACGAAAATATTTTGATCTGCTTAAAACCTATTAATTATGTTAACCTTAACATGAAATGAGTAGCTTATAACTTGAAAGACTGCCTTCAAAAAAATGGAAAGCTTTTAAAGTTCACTAACACTGCATAAGAGGTGTTAAGAGAATATGTGGCTCTGCTAATAAATGTGTTTTAAATTTATTGCAAAAGAGTGTTTAAAAATCTCTTGCGTATGTATGTTCTGACTTTTAGAAAAGACTTCCAAGACTTTCTTCTTTTATACGGTAGCGCAGAAATGGCTTCTTTTACAGGAGGTTCTGTTAAGCCTTGCATTGCCCACATTTTATATATGATGGTGCTTTTGAATATTGATTTACCCACATGTGGCTAATACATTTGATATTACAGCACAAAAAGGTTACCTCAAAGCTGTTGGCCATTTGTTATCCCCTATAGAAATAGGATTTCATGCATATTTTAAAAGTTGCTTATGTTGGGACAGTACAGAGAGGTAAATGTTCAGTACTGCCACAGAGTTTATTTAAAAGATATGATGAGAAATCTAAATCTATGAGAAATCCAAAATGATGTCTTAGATTATTATTGTTGCTAATGCTGATAATACGGTGTCTAGATGCAGTGATTTCTTGATGTGTTAACTTTTGATTAACAGATCTGCTTTTGCATGAGTATTGTTTTATATTACAATTTTCTCTGAGGACCAAGATACTGGAGCCAAGATGCTGCTGAGATTGTATTGGCAGAAAGAAGCCTTAATTGCAGAAAAAAAACCTTAAACAGAATTGTAGAATAGTTTGGGTTGGATGGGGTCTTTAAAAGTCATCTAGTCCAACCTTCCCTGCCATGAGCAAGGAGATGTTCAACTAGGTCAGGTTGCTTGTAGCCCTGTCCAACCTGACCTTGAATGTTTCCAGGGATGGGGCATCTACCACCTCTCTGGGCAACCTGTTCTAGTGTTTCACCACTCTCATCATAAACAGAATTTCTTCCTTATATCTAATCTGAATCTACCCTCTTTTAGTTTAAAACCATTATGCCTCCTCCTGTTGCTGCAGGCCCTGCTGAAAAGTCTGTCCCCATCTTATAACCCCCCTTTAAGTACTGAAAGGCTGTATGCAACAAAGATGTTTCAGGAAAAAAAACTGAGCTAGACAGGAAACTGAGGAACTTCCCTAAATATGAACTATGTACCCATGATCTTGGATTAGTGTATGAGTTATTTCTCCAAAATGAGTGTTTATGCCAAAAATAGTTTTAGCTTATTCCCACACTGAAAAATGTCACTAGAAATTTTAAGGTTGAACGTCTGCTTTAATGGAGTCCAGTTAATATCAAAAAAACATTTTTATTGTGCAGCTTAGTTGTTGTAATGTTCTCTTCAGAGTCTTTTGGAGATTATTTAAGGAATCAAGGAAGTATCCCATTGTTCACAGAATTTCTTGAAATGGACTATAATCCTAATCCCTTAAGATAATAAACTTGCACAGACTTGAAAGCAAAGATGTCCTTTCTAAATGATAAAATGCTTAGTGCACAACTAGCAAATCACATTGATGCTCAAAGCAGAATTAATTATATATAAAGAAGTCTTGTTTTCCCTTTTGGAATTTTAACAAACAATCTTGATCTTGCTCCACCCATGGTATACCAGAACGTTTTCTAAGCCTATTTGTACATTCTGTATCTTAGTGATTGTGTGAATGATGTACAGTGATTTTCCAATCTTGCATTAAAACACTTCGTTATATTTTTTATTTTTCTAATCTATTTTAAATTGCACAAAAGGACTCCTATGTAGACATACTTATATTACTCTTAAAAAAATCAAGTACTAAAAAGGTAAGAAATGCAAGATACAAGATTATCCCTGTGGCTTAAATGCTTCTCCTTTCCAAATCACGTGTAATATTAATGTTCAGTACCCATCTTAAATCTGTGTTTAATTCCCATATCCCACCCTGACTCTTTGGCCTAGACACTTTCCAAGTCTCATTTCTAGTTCTCTTGTCCTTTTCCTGCTTGTTCTGTAGTATCCTAGTTTCTCTTCCACACGGTCAGCTCGGCCGTTAAGAGATAAGGAGAGGCCATTTCCGTGTTCCAGCTTGGGTGTTTGGACCTAAAGTGATAGTTTTAGGAAAAATCCAGCTCCCTGAAACGGGAGCACATTCAATAGAATGCAATCATTAGGAAAATTAGCTGCTTAAAGTGTCTATCAAACACATGCCAAGAGCTCACAACTTTGCCAAATTTGGGCAGCTTTTCACAGATAAAAGAGACATTGCTGTGTCGAACATCAAGGTCTTTGTCTAATACACAGATGTGTTACTACATTCTTTTTTTTTTGAATGCAGACATATCTGGGGATAGCTGGCATTTTCTGTTTAGAACAGGACATTCTACCCAAATAATTATTTTTAGGCAAAGATAGGAACAACTGCAAATGAGTTGTTGCAGAGTTGGGCACTCCTGATTTATAGGCTTTATTACCAACCTTACTTCATACAGGTGTGTGGCAAAACTAGTTTGGAATATAGAAGGACAAATTCTATTTTCTAGGGTATCTGCAGTACCACTGATTTACTTGGGATTACAGAAAGTGAATCAGCATAGCATTTAGCCCCTGTATTTATAAGCCTCTCTAAAACTCCTGAACCTTCATTTTTCTGAGCTTTTTGTTTTTGGTGCTGTTGACTGTCTGCCATGACACTGAAGCTAAAGCATCCCATCTGTTTACCATATTAACCAGCTTTACTCAATTATTAAGCTATCACCTTGCATTTGGTGTGTAATATATTAGATTTTAAAGCATTTTTTGAGGAGAGAAAAATGTCAAACAGCAAGAAGCAGTAGCTTTCTTAATGCATTAACTGCAAGTTAATGTTTTATATTGTCACTTTATATTGTCTTTTTCTGGGGTTTGTTGGTTTTGGGTTTTTTTTTTCTGGGTTCTGTTTATAACTGACTGAAGCACTTTTGCAGGTGGTGTTTTTTTGCATGCTAATCCTGCAGAGAAACATTGTGTCCAACAAAGTATGCTGGGTCAGCAAAACCAAGAAACTTGTGCTGGAAAGACAGTATCCACAGGTATTTAGTGTGTATGGAGATTTGGTAGAATGAATCATTAACTATCATTGACAGAAATAAATGTAGTATTGTCTATAAGGAAGTTGTGCATTTTTTTCTTTCCCGTAGAACAGATATTCTTTCTTTCAAAGTCAGCAAAAGACTCAGCAATGTAAACATGCATTTAATACTTCTTTAATGTTTTTCATCTGTATTCTGCCTTTCCCTTCAGAACAACACAATCCTTTTTGTGTGTTATTTTCTGTCACTTGTCCAGTCATACACAAATTAAATACATACCTGCAGAAGAGAGGTGGTCCTACAAGGATTATTTTAAAAATTAGCACGCAGTGGTTTCTTGCATTTTGGTCATTTATTTTAATGTTCAAAATAGACCAGATTAGTGGGGAAAATTAGATTTCTTCTGATGCTTTCTATAGTGTCAGAGTTCAGCAAGGTAACGTGCTTTACATAGAGAACAAACTGAAGGAGGTACAAAAAGAAGGCCAAACAGAGTGGAGTAGACCAGACTTGCATGATTTAGGAACAAAGGGGAACCATGAATGAACAGTAGTCCTGTGGTAGATACTCATTCTTCCAGAGGACTCTTCCCAGCATGGCTACATTAGAGACTTTGATTCATCGTTATTTTTTTAATGGTGTATCACTGTCTGGTCCTGTACAATTTTAAGGTTATTTAGAAGGGGTGGAAGCTTATGACATCCTGCGAGTTTGAGTGACTTGATACTTGCAAGTACTAGCATGGTAACCATTAATCTTTTTTAAAAGAGACTTTTAAAGTAAATGGATTGAATTGCGTTTGATTTAACCTTGTGCTTAATTATTTAAAAGTGTGTACCTGTTGCCCCAACTCCATGCCTATTTGAAAGACTGAGAACACAGCAGTTAAAAATGAGCTTCACGTCATCCAGATATTAAATCTAATGTTTTTATTAATTTCTGTTATTCTTAATGAAAATTTTAAGGAAAGTATAAAAATTGTTGCCTTCCAGTGAAAGACCCATTGATTGACTTGTAGAAAGAACGTTGCCTAAAACCAAGGGCCATCCTCAAAAATGCCATTGCTAAGCCTCCCTTAACTGAAAATTCCCCTTCTTAGATGTGAGGCTTCGTGGGTTTGCATAAGCACGAAGACTTTTCCTCATGTCACAACTGACGAGTCAAAAGGAGTCCTTTGAATCAGAGACAGAAATAGTTTGGAAGAAAGTGTGGCATAGAAGTGGAATGTCCCTGAAAGATGCCTATTAAGTTTCCACGTGGCCTTCTGGTAACCAGACAGCCAGAGCATATTCAAGTCCTTCAGTGTCAGGGTGGCGAAGACATGAGTTACTGTAGTGATCTCTGTGTGCAAAGGAAATTGTTGAGCCTTTTCTCCAAGTATAAATGGAAAAAATAGTTTTGGTCACTGATGATACTTGCGTACTCTGGGTGGGGTCAGTAGGACCTCTGGTCTGTGGATTGAGTGGTTGCTTTTTCCTGCTCCAAGATGCTAAGTCTTCCACGAGTTCTTCCAGTTAGCTTTCGCAGTCCACAAACAAAATCTCAACCGAGTCTGAAGGCTCATCAGACAGCTAGTCTACATCTAGTCCATCTTTATATTTAGACACTGGCTAAGCTGCTTAACTACAGCAGCTGTGTTGGATGAGAGGAAAATAGAGAGTTGAGTTTCCTTTGCTTACCAGAGACACTGCAATGAATATTTCTGCCCTAAACTGTCTCATGCAAACTTGGGGAAAAAAAAGAAAAAAGAAGTTGTACTAAAGGGTGATGCCAAACACAGCTTGCCTGGAAGACACATTTATGATAAAATTATGCTAGTAGGAAAATGAGTGTTTGTTTAAAAATCCTTCTCAAATAGTTGTATTAGTGTTCAGTATTGTGTTAACTGCATAAGAAGAATATTGATGTAAATGGACTTTGTTTCAAAGAGCATTTTGTGGTTAATATTCGTGAAGGTCTTGGCTTCCAGAATGATGCTTTCTTGTGGAATGCTGAGAAAATATGTGGAGAGACTTTCTTTAAAGAAAAGTGATTTTGCTGCCTAATTTTGCAATATGCTTCTCAAATACATTGACTTGCCTATGCTTAATTTTAAAGCTAGTGTCATGCATTATTTCTGCAAGTATTTCCTCCTAACCTCAAATTAACCTTTCTTTTGTGGTGTTTGGCTGCCATTTTGTGCACTTTTGTAGAGGTGGCACGTCTACAGCAAAAATTCTATCTTTTCCTGAACTCACATCACTCGCTACTGTTGGTTGGAGAGCAGGTGCCTTATAACTTGGAGCGTAAACAGGCAGCACTCTGCTGAAGTGCTGGCTCTCCTAAAAAGTTTATGCAGATCAATGAATGAGATTTTGAAATTTAAAGGGAGAGGTGCAAGCCAAACGTGAAGAGAGAATGGAAATTGTTTCATGTTGAATATTGTGGCAAGCTGAATAACTCCTAATTTGGAAAAAGTCTTTAATGTCAGTATATGACAAGGATAATCTGGAAAATAAGAGCAAACTCTGTCCTCTAAAAGAAAAATACGCTTGTTCTGTCATCTACTGTATTTAAGCTGTACAATTTGACCTGTAACTAGCATCGAAGTTCAGGGCTAGTTTGGTTAATGATTACAATATTTTACATCATTTTATTGTACTTCTCAGAAGCTCTTAAAAGTGCTTCCTCAAAAGCAGCAACAAGAAGATACCCTGCAGGAAAAAAAATAAATCTGAGTATTATTAGCAGTCTTGCTAATTGAGAGCGTAAAGGTTTCTATGTATTTAGTGATTGTAGAATGGCAAAAATGGAAGTTCTTAGAAATAGTACGTGCTCCTAGCTTCTGGAGACTAAAAACAG